GGGATTCTGAGACACCACTGAACTAAGTATTTTTCTGTGTCTCTATGTAGAAACTATTAGTACATTTAATGCATTAATAAAGTTAGATCTTAGTTAAGTTGAATGGTGTGAGACATATTCTGTGTTTGCACTGGGTTGATTATGCTTTAGCGATCCTTTAGCATCATGGGTGCATGACAACAGAGAGGGTATGTTAACCCCTGCAGCTCCTTGGTTCACCACCAGCTGGATCCAGCTCACAAGGAGTCCCACAGTTCAGCTCTGGCTTGGTGGGGGGCAAACAAGTTTGACACCCCTACCTTCAAGCTCCCAGCATTTAGAAGCTATTCAGTTCATTCATGAAAGGGCTGTGAAAAAGGAATATTTTGTCTATTCAGGAGAAACAACTGAGGGAATCCTAGAAAAGTATCATTCCTTCTTACTGGCTATGGGAGCACAACTACTCCTGCCTCACCACTTCCACCACCAGACTGTCACTCCAGGAAGGAGTCTATTTTAACATCTTATCATCACCTAGTTTCCAGTGAGGTACTCCAACTTCTTCAGAATGTACTAATGCAACTTTGCTCTGGCACTGAAAAGTATTGCCTCTTTCTCCGGGGTGTGATCATATAAGTCACATTGCCATTACAGTTGACAAGGTCGAGACAGCACTATCTCCTCCAGCAGTAGGAGAGCATAGCATGATGGGCTATTTCCCAATGCAGTGTACAGTGCTTGGCCATCACTTAGGAGGGTTGTGTCTTTGAAAGAGGTGGAGGACTGCAAAATAGGGAAGATTATTTGGATCATCAGCAACTGGGAGACCACCATGGTCCAACACTCTCTAACCAACCCTCAACTATCCAGGGAAAATCCCCAGGGCTGGTGTGGTGTGGGTGCTAAGGTATATGGTTGACAATTCAGAGATCGCAAGACATGAAAAAGAAAGGAGAGAGTCCCAGAACAGCACAAATGAGGATCATCCCCAAGGACACTTTGGAGGTCACCAAAGGTACCTTGAGGGTTTGGGGGGTGACAAATGGACAGGGATGCCCATCTCAGAACCTTGGGGCACATGTACTAATCATGTTTGATAGAGGCTGTTGAGATGGAAAGCCTAACATGTATAGGCCTCTAAATCACTGTAGAGAATTGCAAAGGCAGCAGGGGAAATTACTAGAAATGCAAGATAATACAGGTGCAATTCATACAGCACCTAGGATGGGGTCCTGGTCCATAACTGGTTCAATAGGAATATAAATAATTAATTACAGTTAATGTTAATGACAAACATCCTACTATTGGGACTTAATTATCAATTTAGTCTCCAATCATCTAAGCCTGCCCAAACAGCGGTTCTCTGTCAATTAACCCTCTGAAAGGTGGGGTAGTTCTTTCCCGGAAGCATATCTAATCACCACTTTTATTAAATAAATAACTCAGAGAATTGTTAAAAGTATACAAACAAGACAGTTTATTATAAAACTAACAAGAACAGGTTAGTCACAGAAATACACTTAGCCTTCTATACAAATCCTAACCCAACAACATCTAATCACAACAATGACAATAAAAAGGACTAAACTTTATTATAAGGGACAGGGGAACTTTATTTAGTTCTGCTCCGGTCGCTGGGGTAGAGATGACTGCACCTCAGGCAGTGGCTTCTAATCTTCTTCAGACACGCACCAAGAAGCACCCCAATAACCCAGAAGAGAAGAACAGAATAGGGTAATGCTTACAGATCAGAGCAGAGGGCTGCTGCTTACACACCTGGAGGGAAGAGCCTGGGGAGCCAACCCTTTCTGCTCTGGTAGCAGACAAAGGATCTCCCATGGCGACTGGGCCCAGGAACCTCCGTGGCTCACACAGTGGATCCGTCACTCAGCCTTTCCGTGTCTCTCTCTCTCTCCTGCCAACAAGCACCCCGACTTCTTTCAGTCCAAAACACTCAGTCAGAGTCCAATCACACACACACACACACACACACACACCTCACACCATTTCTGTCCATTAAAGCCCTTTATAAGGGTAGTGCACCTGGCACGCCAGGGCTCTGCACATGGCACATGGGTGTGCGCACAGCACTCTATTCCAGGGCCTCTTGAGGGTGGGTCAGATAAAGGTCATCTTCTGACCTACTTAACATACAACTAAATGAGCCAAGCCCCGATTTCCACCATTACACCACTGTGTCATTCATGGTATGAAATCATACTTATAGAAAATTATACAATAACAACAATGGTGTACTCTTCACTGCACACTTACCACTAAAGTATACTGTTAAGTGCATCCCACCACAAAATGAGTTGACACAAGACACTGGTCAACAAATACTCAAAATACAAACTATTGTGACATTCCTAGGCTCCAACTTTTATTTTTGCCAGGCAGGGGCTTAAGATGATGCTCCCTCTCCCGTAATGGCATGGCTGAAGCAGAGGTGAGCAGTCTGTGGGGGACCAGGGACAGATGAGGACGGCCCACTGTCAGTTTGCAGCTGCATACCCTGCTGCCTTCCTCACAGGAGCTCCATGCCAGCCACACCAACATGACAAGGTGCCCCCTGCCAGCTCAGCAGCAGCGGGGGGCACAACTCTGTGCCACTACTTTGGCTGCTGCTGCTGGGCAGGCAGGGGGTGCCTCACCACGGTGGTGTGGCCGGTGTGGGGCTCCTGGGGGGAAGGCAGTAGGGCAGGAGCCCCAAAGCTGCAGCGGCCAGGCTGCATCCACCCCTGCCCCATGCACAAATCTGGGGGGTATGTGCCCCCCACATTCTTCCTTCCTCAGGAGTGCATCAGCAGCAGAAAGCACCCCCCTCTCCCCGGTGATGAGCCACCCCTGGCTCTCTCTCACTCCCTGCCCCAGGCATTGCCCTGGCTGGACAACACCCCTGGCCAGGCAGTTCCCCTATGCCCAGCCCCTCCCTCACTGTGGGGGCCTCAGTCTGTTCCACCCCCACCCCATAGACTTACCCGCAGGCAGCTGGGGGAGCTGCTCTCCACTGTTGCCTGGGGCTGTATTCCTGGTCACATGCATGTGGCCCCCCTTGAGTCTCACCCCACAGCCCCTTGCAGGCTGGAACTCTGCCAGCTTGCAAGGGAAAACCTGCTGTTTTCCATGTTTTTCCACAGTGAAATGAAAACTCGGATCCCTGCACAATACTGGGAATCTGGGATAAATGCTGCCCCTGAGTCATGCAGCCGAGGACTGGGACTTGATGTTCCCATTTCAGGACTGTCCTGCCCAATTAGGGATGAGTGGTTACCCTACCCTCTTTTCAATGGGAGCCAGGGCCCTTGGGCCCCAATGTACTCGGCACCTATGGTGTCACTGCAACATTGCCATTCATTACTGTATTGTACCAAGGCAATGCAGTATCATGACACTACATCATGGTACTGAAACATCAGGACACAATGGCAGGACATGCCAATGTGCTCTGCTAAAATGGTGCTGTGACAGCTAAGATATTGCTTAGGCTGTGATGTTACCTGCTAAGGCAGTGATTCTCAATCAGGGGACTGGGGCACTTTGTGATGCCACCAAATCCTTTGAAGGCTGCCGTGAGGTGCAAGGAAGAAAGCAGATTGTTATCAAAAAACCCAGTACTGTTTGATTGTTTGAGAGAGACGAGACTACAGCCCGTCTATGATCAGGACTTCTTTGCAAGCTTAGACACAGAATTCAGGGACAGTTACAATTCCCTTAGAGATTACCTTTTTTTACACCAAATCAAGATACAATCTGACTTCCCAATTATCTCACATTCCCTTTTACCAGGTATGGTATTACTACCACCCTAGTTAGAACAAGAGACAACAGATGCATCTATAATCCAACCTTTTATTCATTATACCCTAAAGCATAAGGTAAGCAATTATCTCTATGCCTATCTACCTACCTGCAACTGCACAATAACCTTATCTTCTATACTGGGGGGAGATGCCGGAAGGAAGAGGAAGGTGCCATGCAGGCTTGCAGCAGGCAGTCTTGAATTTGCTGAGGTCTTTCCTAAAATTTCTGTTTATACCCAATATGTATACATTGCTCATTTAAATATTCTGGCTGGTGTTATTGTGTGGACTTGGAAGATGCCAACTAGCTGGGGTCTGGGTCCCTGTAAGAGGTGCAGTTTTGGGAGACAACTTCTGGTCTCTCTCTCATCATGTGGGAGCACTGCTTGCCACCTTCTGCTCTTTTACTTTGCTGACTATGCCAGTTGAAACCTCTGCGGACATCCAATCCAAGAGAGGCTTTGTGGCCTCCTTTAGCCACACTTCTGCAACCTAGCATAAGTCCCTTGAAAGCAGCTGAGGCTAACAACAGGGTCACAAAGACATTGTTATTGCAGGAGGATTCCAGCAACAACTCCATCATCATCACAAGGCAAAACATGGCTGGTTCTTTCTTGCTCCTGTTACACTTCTCACAAAAAAACAGTTCATTCCTGGCCCAGCCTAGCACTAGGGGCTTGATAAACAGATTCTTATTCTACTTTTTCAGGCCACTGCTTATGATTTAAATGCAGCCCAGCTTCAGCACATACACCCGCAGCTCAGGCTTTGCCTGGTCCCGAGTATGCACCGGCCAGTGCACCTGGCAGTCCCGGGCCCACAAGAGAAGCAGAGGCCGAGGCCCACCCGCCCCTCTGCAGAAGGCGACACGGCAGCGCCCGGCATTGCCCAACTCACACAAGCTACCATAGCTCATACGAAAAAGGCTGCGAGCGGAGGCTTTGCCAGGGGCAGGCCGCCCTGCCGCGGCTGCTGGGGTACAAGAGCTCCGTGTTTAAACCACAAGCGGCGCGGCGCGGCGCGGCCCGACCCGGCCCACCCGGCACAGCGCTTAAGGGCGCCAAAAAGTGCTAGAAGCCTCGCTTCCTTTCATGAGATGCCGTCGCCAATCAGGGACAGCCTCACAAAGCCGCTTCTAACTGCCAATCGTAAAGACTTTTACTACTAACATTTCCCAGACTGCTGTTGTTTGACCTCTGCAGGTCCCGGCCGGAGTGATTCTGCCTGGGGCTTCTCTGATTGGTCAACGAGAAGACATGGTCGCCGATTGGCTGTGCTGGCTGGCGGGTCTCGCATATTGCGCGGGTCTGGAAGCTGCTGCGGTGCCGGCAGCGGCGGCTGGTTCTGCTGCAGGGGAGCAGCGCTCCCCGACCATCTGCCTGGCGGAGCGGCCGTGACTTGGCCGGGGGCGCACACGACACATCCCGGGCTACCTGTCCCGGCTGGCAGGAGCCAGCACTCTGAGCCCCGTCCAGTCTGCGAGGCTGGGCCCCACCGGGCTCCTGCGGCGCGGCCGCTGCCCGACGCTCAGCGGCCCTTGTCCTCCGGCTCCGTGTTTGGGGCAGGCTGCGCCGAGCGTTGGCTCTGCAGGCAGGTGCCGGGACAGCATGGCCTTGAGCCGCTCGTCTGGAAACAAGAAGCGGAGCGGCGCCATCCTCTACGGGGTGGATCCGACGCAGGTTCTCTCGTCGCCTTCCACCTGGCAGGGGGCCACCGCCGGGGGCGGCTTCCCACCCAACAAGCGCTACAAAAGTGTTGATGTGGGGATGGCCCAGAAGGCAGAAGATCTCTTTGGTGATAATGATGACTTCACTGCTGCTGACTTGGAAGAAATTGATATAATTGCCTCCCAGGCACTGTCACAAGGCCAGGACTCAAATACCCTTCCTAGTACAAATGTTCAGAAACTGGAGCAGGATGTCACGCCGTCCTTAATGCTAAACATCATCCATCAGAAGTCTGTGAACGTTAGACTGTGGAACGATGCTTCCAGCGCTGAACAAAACACCAAAGCCAGGCTTGGTATGTGCAGTCCAGCATGTGGGCTGGTGGCGGGGCAATTGGCACCCCACGTCTTCGTTCCCAGATGTGGGGTGATAAGGCAGAGGTGATAAATCCATTCTAGCTGGGCTACTGAAGATGTCTGAAAGGAAATAGGCCGTGGAATAGTCTCATTCTTTAATTTCAGCTCAGTAGTAAATGTTACTGTTGATAGTTTCATTTAAATCAATGAAGCCGTTCTTAAATATCAGGACACAAGGGAAAAATGTTTTTCATCAGTTGGGAAATCTCTTCTGGTGCTTTCTCTTTCTTTGTGTGTGTTTGGGTAACTTGATGGTACAATTTTTGGAGTTGTCGCCTGCAAGTAAACAATCGGATAGATAGAAAGCACTACAAAATGTATGGTTCAGTCATGCTGTGACGTGAAGAAAAAAGCTTGAGGGAAGCCGTTATGCCAAGTGTGTGTGGCATGGTAATGCTTTACTATAATAAGTACCTGCTTTGTGTATGTAACATCTTCCATCTAAGGAATTAAGCCAGTAATTCTCTACAAAGGTGTCTTGAGATAATTTCAAGGGTGCTTGGGGGTGCTGTGCAAGTGTTAAATCAGCCCTTCATCCTTTCAAAGTAGGTACAGTACCTTGAATTCCTCTTATTTTTTTCTGTAGGTAAAGTCTTTCAGGGAGGACTAGAAGAATCTGTGTTCTTGACTGTTCAACCCAGATATGACAGGTTTTAGGGCACCTCTCTGAGCAGCAGCATGCTGGTCTGTGCTTCATCTTTCTCCATCCCTCTTCCTGACAACTGTGCTGCCTGGTTATGTTTTATTTGTTGTGTGTGTATAGTTTTTGTTGGACTTCGTAAACAGCATTGAAATGTACAATGAATAACTATGGTAAATGACTGACTAGTTACAGCTGAAGAAGGCTAGTCCGAAGTTACTAGGGAAAATGGCCTTAATTGGATTGCATACTTGCATTTTTAATGTAGTTTCTCAATCCTTGTGTCTTGTAAATAGATCCTGTGGTAGTGCATGCATCTAGTTGCAGGTTTACAGCCTAAATTTGCATCCACTTCATATTTTAAATGGGGTGGAGGGAGACCATAGAGAATATTTGGTATTCTGAGTTTTTTTTTTTTCTCTGTGGTAGGAATATGGGCTACCTATCCAAAAGATCATGTCTATTGAATTTGGTTCAACATTTGAGTATAGTGTATTTCATGGTGAGATCAGGGGGAAAAATTTTATCAGAAGTAAAACCAAGAGAAATGACTGCATGAATTTAGAAATCCGGGGGAATCAGGCTTTCAAACAATCTATTCATGCACTTATTGTGTGTTTGGATTACAGACACATGCAGCTGAAAGTGAGATGGTATATACAAACTTTTGTTTCTAGACATCTTTTGTTGTATTTGATAAAGTATATTGTGGTATAAATAGCAAAAGAAACAATTTCAAAATCTGATTTAATTTTACAGCTTTCAGTATTTCCATGTGTTCTTGTGAGCCTATATGCATGTTTTAGTAAAGTAACCATGGAAACTGTAAGTATGAACTTCAGGACTAAAATATTAATATGTATGATGATGAATATAAAAATATTGTGATGTTAACATTTTATAACCTATATTACTTCAGAGTGAAATTAGTATTACTTCCTCTTTTTCAGTAGGAAATGGCACAGAAGATATTCTGGTTAAAGACGCATTTCAATTTGAAGTACTGCAAACACAACATGAAAACCTTAAGGAAAAGGTTAGATACTTCTCTTTCTTTTTCCTAATTGGTTTTTGTACCATTCAGTACAGCATTTTTTAAAGTAGTTTTGAGTTGTCTTTAAGTTTTAACTGAAGATCTTTTTAATTCCATTACATTATTCACAAGGGTAGAAGGCCACCCTTTGTAAAATACATTGGAGCCAAATTGTGCTGAGAGGTATCAATATCTTGAGTTTCCGATATAACATGAAACTACAAGGCACTAATTAATCATGAGTTTCAGTCCAGCCCTTTTACAGTAGAAAACAGAGAATCAAATATTAGTTGGCAGCTCTGTTATGTTGCTTCCCATTAAATCCATATTTCTTACCTGTTCCTTGTCATTCAGAAAATATCTGTTTTGCTTAAGTTCAGGGCTTGAGATCAATGCCATGATCTGATGCCATAAGTTTGTCTGTGTATTTACCTCATTATATGTTTGAGAGAGAATGTGAGTCAGAAGTGGATGCATGGTAATTGCCATGAGACTCCCTATGTAGCATAATTCTTGGGACAGTGCACTACTTGCTGTGTCTGTTCTAAGATGAGTTGATGAGAGCTGCTTGACTGCCTTATTGCAGCTATCTGCATGTTACTAGGGCAGGGTGAACCCAACAGAGGATATAAACTACGTTTCCCTTTGTGCATTGAATGCTTAACCAAGGAAAGACATAATATTACTGGGGGAAAAATAATCTGAGAAGAGTATAAGAGGTGTCAGGGGGACCCAGTCTGTGTTTTGATAGACCTAGGACAGGGGTGGGCAATTTTTTGGCTGGAGGGCTGCTTAACAAGTTTTGATGAGTTGTCAGGGGCTGCATGGGTAGCCCCATCCCTTAACAATTGTCCCACCCCCTGGTTGCCATATTGGGACCAAAGGTCTCACCCCCTAACCCCTGACCTTTGCCACTGGAAATTCATCCCGTTGCCTCTTTCCCCTCCCCCCCAGTACTCCTTGGGGGGGGTACTATCTTGGAACCAGAAAGAAACCAAACCATACACTAGAAGTCAAACACCTACTATAACATACTTTAATTTTATTACAAAAAATATTTGCTATGATTTGTGTTTGTATAATGTATATAGAAGGGATTGCATAGTAACTCAGAAATAAAGTCTCGCTCTTACATTGTGTGGTGTGGGGTGCATGTGTGTGTGGTAAGATGGAGGGTGTAGGGGGATTTGTGTGGGGGGCATAGAGTATATTTGGGTGTATGTATATGTCACTGGGGTTTGTGGGGGTAGGGTGTAGGTGTGTGAGGTTTGTGGGGTGTGGGAACATCCCATGGCATGCAGCCCATGCTGCCAGCAGCAGCGGCAGGCGGAGGGGGGGTGGGAAGTAGGCTGAGGATGCTCATACCTGGCACAGGTGGGCGCCCAGTGGAGCATGGCTCCAGCCAGCGCTACGTGCATGGGGTCCATTAGCGCAGCCTGTCCAGCTGCCTCTGGCTCAGCATGGTGCACTTGCAGCTTCTGCACTCGCACTGGGGAAGCCCTGCACTGGACTCTGTGGGGAAACAGGGGGCAATAATCCCTCCACTCCCAGAGGAGTCCAAGGACCTGTGCAGCAGGTTGCAGAGAAAGCAGCCAGCTCCAGCACACGGCTACCCCCGGTGCCAGTTGGGGGAGCTGCAGGCACATAGTGCAGAGCAGCTGGGCAGGCTGCACTCCTTGCCCTTGCGCACAGTGCTAGCTGGAGCTATGCCATGCTGGGTGCTAACACCTGTGCTGCGCATGAGCACCCTGAACCCCCTCCCCCACCTGCTGCTGCTGCCAGTAGTGGGGGAGTGTGTGTGGGGGTGTCCCTACAACCCCCACTCTACCTCACACCCACACTGCCTAGCTGAGCTCCACATTGTGCTCTGTGCTTCCATCCAGCTGCCACTCCACCTCTCCTCACCCTTGCTGGACCCCGCCACTTCCCTACCTGCTACCCAGTGAGCTGGACATCTGGGAAGCCAAGCACGTTCCCATGGAGCAGCTGCAGCAGGAGCCCTGCCCAGAAGCTGCTGCTCGCCAAGCCAGGCCCTTCTGCTCACAAGGATGGAGCACAATTCATTGGGGGGCGCCATGGGCTGAGTGAAAGTGCCTGGTGGGCCAAATGCATTCTGTGGGCCGTATTTTGCCTTCCCTTGACCTAGTGACTAGTCATTTTCAAGATCTATTAACATAGACTGAGTTTGGGCTTGATAGTTAGAAGCTGTACTGAAATAGCAGTTTGGATTATCTGAACAGTGTAAGAGGTTTTTCACCAGGAATTTTAAATAGGCTATACTAATGTGTCCTGTTCATAATGTTTTGATGTTGCAGCCTTCTGGGATGACCCTTTTTTGACTTAATTAATCCATAGTGGTATACATCCATGTTTCTTAAAGGTATGCTGTAATAGAGTGTGTTTGATATTTGCAGCTGAAAGAAATGCAGGATGAAATCATTTTTAAAAATGGAGAAATTAAAGTTTTGCGGGACTCAATGCAGCAGTTGGAGTCTACCATGGAGGAACAGAGAAGATCAAATATGTTACTGGAAAAGGAGAAAACCCAGACCCTGAATGAAAAAGAGAGAGAGTTTTCCAAAAAGGTCTGTGAAGGACAACTGCTTCAGCTATCTAACAGTTTGCATGGAAAAGCTGTTTTCTTTATTGATTACTTAGTATGTTGCTGAAGCCACAGTCCTTGTGAAGTCAAGGGAAGGACATGTAGAATAACTTTTCCTCTAATCCGGTACATGTTCTTTATACTGCAAAATTATTTATAGCTAAAACTAGATCACTGAATTATGTGAAAAAGGGGAGGTTTTTCTGAGTTAAACTACACTGTACATGAGCAAAACTTAAGTGATTAGTGTGGGCACCCAGAATGGCAGCCTTATAATGGAAAAATGTAAGAGCACAGAATCTATGATTCTGTTATCCAATTTCTGTTTCTTACATTCTCAGTTTTTCTCCAGTGCCCTGCAGAAGGTGGTGGTGATAGTGGCTGCTGTTTACTCCATGAGTAAGGTCCTTACTGAAGCAGTCTCACTTGGTGACAGTTGTTGCTTATAACCGTCATGGTGAACCTGCTTTATTATTCTGATATTTTCTGTACTGCATATGCCCTTATATAACTGTCACTTTGAATTGTATAGGAGAGGTTTGACGGATTTTTTTTTTTTTTTTTTTTTTTCATAGATTGCAGTTAGTTGCATTGTTGTCTTGGAATACCGTAGATATTTGGAATATGTCATTCTTCCAAGTTGTGTGGTGTTTATTGTAAGATGAGTCTCATTTTATTTTTTCAGTTACAGTCCTTGCAATCACAATTGCAGTTTAAAGATGCTGAAATGAATGAATTGAGGACAAAGCTTCAGAACTGTGAAAGGATTAAGTCTGTTGCTTCGTCAGTTTCAACTGTCAGGTATTGAGTAGTTTTGTAAGGTAGAAAACTTGTGTATTATTTAAATAGAGTGAATGTTATGGGAAATTACTGCTGGTGTAACACCATTGACATCAGTAGACTCATGCAGATGGAGAATCCATGGCTCTCTTCAGATGCAGAAGTTGTTAATAATAATAATGATGATAACACTGCAACAGTCTCTCTCTTATCAGTGCATAACAAATACCTCAAGTGAGCAGGTATGTAAGAGAGGCAAGGATTTATAGCGATGTGTTTATTGACCTGAGGAGGGGTACTTGATGAAAGATTGTCTAACAGCTCTCCCAGCTATACAGTTTGTCCAATAACAGATGTCATTAAAAATCCTTGCCTCATACATTTCCTGCACCATTATGGTGCCAACATTTCAAATCTTCTACAAGTATGAATGGGCATACTGAAATCTGAAAAGCATAAAACCTTGTTATAGTTAGCACCTGTTTCAAAAATAAAGAACTAGCAAAACATTATCTAGTTTTAACTGTGAATTTTAGGGGTTTAAAAATGTTTTAAAACTTGTTTTAAGTTTATTCAAATAATAATTTGGCTACAGTTCTGAATTGTTTGCCATTTTAATCATACAATTCAGTTTTCCAGGGCATTACATAAAATAATATCTATTATATTCCAGACCTAGGGAGATGCTCTAATAAGATGTTTATTCTCTGACCAGAACACCCACACTACCCATCTATGGCATCTTTCTGTAGAGTGAAAAGATGTAGCTAGTCCTACAGCTTTATGAAAGGAAGAGAGGAGAATACAGTGGAAAGTATATAGAGGAAATTGGGAACACCTATCAAATTCCTCCCCTGACTCAGACTGCACTGCTCTGTTTACCAAGTGGTGGAAAATGGACATAAACAGATATACCACTGACAAGGGGAAGAGATGACATGGGAGGGGTGGAGTTTAGTTCTTGTGAGCACATATTTGTTGTAACTGGCTTGTCTGTTTTTTGCAGTGATTTACTTCAGAATGATATGGGTGGTTTAGATCTACCTACCACTGTATCTGTCTGATCTCTTCTGTGATAAATTTCATGCCTTCATTAAAATGGAATAATTGTTTAGTTTTTCATGGCCTTAGCACAGGGGTAGGCAATGTTTTTTGGCAAGAGTGCTGAAAACTCCCCACAATGCCTATCTTGGAAGGTGCCGGAGTGCTGGCATGCCAGAAAAACAAAACGAGGGCAGGGGGTACATGGCAGGATGCCCTGCTGTCCCCTGCACCCCAGCCCAGGCTCCGTGGCTATCAGCAGCTGCCCAGAACCTGGACCAGCTGCTGCCTCCCTGCCTTAGCTGCCTTCTGGCCCCAGACCCAGCCCTGGGCTCTGGGAAGGCAGCAGATACCGGTGATGCTCCCTGCTGTGCTGCCCTCACCTGGGCCCCCCTGAGCGCAGCGTGTGCGACACAGAGTGGCAGTGTACAGAGGGGCTGCACAGAGGGGCTGACTGCTGCTACAAGCTCCATGCTGCCCAGGTCACACTTCCCCTGTGTGCACGGAAGCAGTGTGGGCAGCACGCAGGGTTGAGCCCCTTGCTGCTGCCCCCGTCTGCAGGGTAAGTGTGGCCAGGGCAGCAGGGAGCTTGGAGTGGCAGGCAGCTTTCTGCACGCCCCCCTCCCCACCCGCTGTTCCCTGCCGTGCCGGGTTTCACACGCTGCTCTGTGGAAGCGGCAGCAAAGGCAGCACAGTGGGGAGCATCACTGGTATCTGCTGCCTCCCCGGAGCCCAGGGCTGGATCTGGGACTGGGAGACACCAGCTGTTTGCAGCCTCCAGGCTGTAGCTGACCCAGGTTCTGGGTAGCTGCTGATAACCACAGCTCCTGGGCTGCTCTCAGCAGCTGGCTGGGAGGATGGAAGCCCTATTGCAAGCAGCCTGGGCTCCGTGGCTATCTGCAGCTACCTTGAACCTGGGCCGGCTGCAGCTGGGAGGCTACAAACAGCTGCTGCCTTCCTGCCCCGCCCGGCT